GTGGTATTAAATATTTTGATAAGAGATAAATGGTTAGGAAAAACCTTTAATGTCCGTTATTGCTCAATAAATTGGTTGATATTCACTGCAGACTTTGCTTTACTTCCAAAAAATTAGATTAACAGGCCTATTTGGACAATTTACCGCCGATAAAACATTTCCTCTGATTCACAGATACGACTCAAGTGTACTTCTTCTGAATAAAAAAAAAACATTAAAATGACAGCGTTTACACGTTGATGCTTTGTCAGTATAAAAACGTCAAATCGCACGAAGCTCACTGTCCAAATAAACATAGCCATCGATGAAACTGAGGTTTAAAAAGCAATAACAGACATGGTTTTTATTTTACTGTATTTTCCAACAGGAATTTATTGTAAGTTAGTGGTGCAATCCATTATCACTGTTAACACAGCCCCCGTTTCTGGTTTGAAACGGACACTGAAAATAAATTCTTACTCATAAGAGGAGGAAGTTCTTTGAGAGAGGAAGTCAGGTCAGGTTTATCTTGAAGCCAACTTTATCTTTACTGCCTAACAGAGAAACATTTGGAACCAAAGTACGGCTTAATATCTTTTTGTATGCAGACAAAACATTGGTCTGATCTTCACAGCTCTGGTTTTAATTTGCAGAGTATGTTAACATGTTTGAATAAAACTTGAGTTTGTGCAAATAAATGCCATACTTTTCAGTTAAACTGTGAGCAGCATCGGTTATCAGCGGACGGCTGACTTTGATTCACAGTTCAGAGTTTTGTTTGGTACACATGCCTGCATATTGTTAATCTCTGACTGGGCAGCTGAGCCGGATCTATGATTCCATGGGGGGAAAGCTGCTCACACCTTTGGGTAAATTGACTTCCACCCATGAAAAATACAGCAGAAAACAAGTATTTTAAGTTTGTTAAAAAGGAACAACATTATTGCATATCAGCATGATCACACAATCATTCATTGTGGTTTAAGAACCAAACAGTTGATTTTCCCATCACTGTGGGGTGCGGGTTCTCCCTCGCACTGTTTCCACTCCCCTGACTAGCCTCTGCATTCATGCATTTATTTGTTTTTCCATCTCTGTCCCATATATTTTTTATTATTTTTTCCCATTTCTTTTCCAATGTGTAGCTGCAACTCTCTATCTCTGACTGTTATTCTAGCAATACTTTTTTTATGCACCTGCTCCCACAACTACTTTGCCTCATCTCCATAGGGTGCAGTGTGATTGGAATGTGTTATGTATGACCCTTTGTATATGTATACCCAAACACACACACACACACATGCGCTCAAATACTGACCACAGGTGCTGGATCCACAACATGCCGATGTCTCGAATAATTCAGTCATAACCATGAATGACCTCCCGGATTACATCTAGTCCTGCCTGTGGAGATGTTTTTTTCCCCTAGTATAAGATTCTGTATAGGTCTACATATACCCAGACAGGTTGAGGCAAAGTTGGGTACCAACATATACACACAGTGGTTATTATACTAGGGTCAAAAGCTTGACATTGAATGTTTGCTTACTAATTCCCATTCAGCAATAAAAACCCAAACACTGTCTCTGCTGTGGGCAGATGAGTTCTGTAAAGGAAGATGCTAATGAAATTTAGCCAGTCTACTATTACTACCGCTGCAGCTTAGTGCTGCAGCTCATTAAACATATAAATAAAATATCAGTAGAATATAAATCCTCCTCACTAAAGATTTGTTTTCTATTTATTTTGACACTTTTATATGAGAGCCCATTTGTATAGACTAATCTAGTTAGAAGTAGGTATAACACCACACCCTGCTGGAGAGTATTTTTAACAACAGATGCATGGGTTTGCACAGTTTTACCCTCTGGGCTCATTATCAGATAAGTCAACAGTTTTTATCTACTTTTAGTTCTAGTAAAGTCTCACACGCTCATATAATCTATGAGAGGCAAAAAATAAACAAATGAGCTTCATGCAATTGGTTGCACGTCTATGCTTATGCAAATCTTATGCAAATAGGAGATTACCAAAATTTTCCAACAGTCCAACATGATTTTATGTTGTGGAAACTTTTTTTTTTCCTGCTGAGTCAGCAAAGGCTGCTTTCTCATAGTGTGATAAAAGTTGCTCTGATGATGGACCCATGTATTTAATGCAGGGTTTTCCCTAAAGGATAATTATTTCTCTTATGTTTTTGTTTTAAACGACTGATGTTTTCTCACCCGGCTCATAGAATATATAGGTATAGGGCTAAATCCTTGGCAGAAGTAGAGCAATAGGATTTTTTCAGGGCTTAATATGCCTGTATGTATTGGAGCTATTCTCTGAGTGCAGGTTTTAATCCTTAATCACATAATTTGTGATGAGTGTTGTGCGTGGGGGTTTGGCAGATCTTTTTTGGTTTGTTTTTTCTCTGTTTATATGATGGTGTGTGTTGCATACACTTAAAACTGGCAGTGAGCTTGTTGTTGGTGGTCTTAAAAAGTCCCTAGGGGTAGAGAGGAAACAGGAGTCGCACAGCTGAGATTCCTCCCAGCACGCTATTAGATGTTTGTTTTTTATTTTTAGAAGAATAAAAACACATAATCTGCATCATCGAATTGAATTTATCATGTAACATATTTTTTATTATTATGTGTGTGTGTGTGTGTATATATATATATAAAATATGAAAACATAGTATTTGTCTTTTAATTTTAATTTTTTATTTTTTACTCTCCTACCATGTTCCTTTCTACCATTCCACCCATGTAAATACACAGAGCCCTCCACTTTAGGAACCACTGTGTTAGAGAAACAGAAGTGTTGGTTTCCTTCAGGCACTGTTCTGTTTGATTGTTCCCTATTTTATAGAAAACAGCCAGTGTTTAGTAGACAAGCAAATGCTGAGAAGACAACTTGTTTGGTTTGATATGCTCTGCTGCAGAGGAGGAACGGCTTTCTGTCAATGTTGCTTTACTCATCAGTTATTATCCTGATCAGTAACTCGCCTTGAGAAAAACATACGATTGTTAATGAATGTTCACATTAATTGAGCATTATGTCAAAAGCACTGAAATATCAATTCACCCCTCGAATGTAACAGTCTGTTTTATTTCAGGTTTAAATATATTTGAATTCAAATGAAACTTTATGGTACTGAGCTTCTCTGGTACAATAAAAAGCTTTTTAAAGCCCCAAACCTCTTAGTGTACAGAGGAGCCTGGACTGTTTTTTTTTCTTTTTTCTTTTCTTATTGTTCAGGAATTGATGTTTAAAACTGCGCTTAAAATAAATGCACCTTTGTGTGTGCTTTTGGCCTCATTTTGATGTCTTTCTACACCCATAGCACCCTGTCCTCAGAGAGCAATAGTTGCTGAGATGTTGCTACACCTTTAATGTTTGACGTTTGCATCCATCATCCACAACCTGCTTGTAGGGTTGTGAAAGCTCAAAGAGCGCTACACGTTTTATCAAAAATGTATGATGCGTTAAGTCACTTAACACATCACTGGGCACTGGGGCTGACGCCTCTGTTGTCAGAATTTGAGGTGTTTCTCATCTTAAACAACCACAGACTGAACTCATCTTGATGTGTGACAGTTTTTAGCCTTTGGCGCCTGCTGAATGTAGAGTGAGGACATCAGGTCTGTAATATAACTCTTAGTGAATCTGTGCTTACATGGACATAAGTGGTTGTTGATCGTACTAAAAATATTTTATATTAACAAGTCAGTCTGGATATTCTGATCAGAAGGATTGGAATCAGGTTATAATCTAACTTAAGCTGGTTATATATAACTTGTCTGTCAGATGAACGCCTTTGAGCATCAAGTTATTCTTACGTGACGCATTTCCGCCTTTAGTGGCTTGTCGCTGAGGCTAGCTGTTACCAGATTATTCTGACGGACTTGTTTACATCACATATTTGGTTGGTTGTTTCATTCTGTTTACTTTTTTCCATATTAACCTTGCAATCTGTTTTTATGTTTTGTCTTTTAATCAGATTACATTTTAATCTGTAAAATTTTGTGTGTGAAATCATCAAATCAACCTTACAGGCAGAAAAACAAAGCTCCCTATTGTCTACTATCCAGTTATTTCTAGTTGGAAGGGAAACTGTAGTTACATACTTACTGTCGGTAGAGTATTTCTCTTAAGTTGTATGACTTTATATATTTTGAGTTTCTCCCCACAGTACTGGTGATATTTTAACCAGTTGTGACAGATCTGATTAGATGCAGTCCAGTTGTTTACAAATCAGTTTACTCTTTTAAGCTTCTTCAAAAGTGAACAATAACAACAAAAATTAGGTGATAAATTAACTTAGGTGTTTCGTTTTCACTCCTGGAGCTTTGATCCTGTACGGTAAGTATGAAAGCACAATCAGACTCTAATGTACACCAAACTACTGTGGCTTGAAGAGGTGGTATCGGTTCGGCTCCAGATGGACTCTGATGCGCACTAGTTGATGTCTTAAAACAACTGTACTCTGGTCCGATAATATAAATATATATCATGGGCATATATTACCGTTTCGTGCCAGATTAGTATCTCATTGTGCATGTTTAGGAGATTTAATCTGAACCTTCTCCTTAATCGGGTAGATATTTAAATTCAGCATCTCCAGTGCATCAGCATATTTTATATAAGCAGCAGCCACATTTCATTTTCAAACAATACCATTTGCCAGCAGTAATACATGCAAACCATATAGAATAAAAGGCAAGCGCTAATAAGGCTTTTCAAGTACTGCGGCATTTAGTCCTAAGTGGGGGAAAAAGGGGCTGACTTTGGGTTGGTATAAGGGACACAAAGGCTCAGGTTTGAAAAAAAAAAGAAAAGATTCTTTTTAATTAATCGTAAATAATGTATTATTGCTGATTTTCCTTTTTATTTATCTCTCTATCTGTCTGTCTGTCTTATCTATCTTATCTAATCTATCTATACCACTTGGCTTTTGTTGACTCCTGTGTTTGTGTTTCATTTTTGGCCATTTCCATATTTTTACCAAACTAAACTGAACTTTGTTTCTGCAGATGACCCGGCCGATGCAGACCTGTGGTTGCTCAACAGCTGCACCGTGAAAAACCCTGCAGAGGACCACTTCAGAAACTCCATCAAGTAAGTTAATAATAAAAATAACACAGACCTCCTTCTTTAATACTAAGCATCGTTTATGGTCATTTGAAGACCGTTTCAAACATAAAGAAAACAATTTCTGAAACCAGAGCCTTTCTGTTCATTCCTCCCTGAATAACAGGGCATTACAATAATGGTGTGTGTAATCAATTTATTTGTTTAATATTATGAGCTGACATGATGTAGCTAAATGAACGTTATCAAATGATCTTTTAGAAAATCTATGCAACCAGTGCAGAACTAAACCTGAATACATGCATTTTTTTTTGTACCCAAGAGTAAATCAAGATTCAAGACCAAGACTAATTGCAAAAATGCAACTAAGATCCAATAAATTCCCTCAGACTTCTCGGGCTTCAATTTCAGCTTCCCCGTTAAAAAAACAAAAAACAAAAACAAGAATTGTTTTCTAAAGGAGACTAATTTTCCTGCAGAAACTTATATCAAACCCTGTGTGGTCGACCTTTTGAGTTTCAGTTTCAGACTCCACCTACTCATTGTTTCCAGAGGTGGTGCACACAGGGAGAAAAGGAGAAACTTGTATGCTTTTGCATAATCACTGAGAAATTGAGCTAGAAACTGTTTTGCATTTTGATTAATTTGGCACGAAGCACACACACCTGGCAAATACATGCTTATGTTTGACATGGAGCTGCATTTTTTATTCTTTAAAGTAACTTTGGAGTATTTTACTGCTTTAAATTGGTCCCTCACTTCCTCTCACACTGCTGCAAAAAATCGAATGTACACACCGAAGAGTACCGTATTTTCACGACTATAAGGCGCACCTAAACGTCTTTTTTTCCCCTCAAAATGTGGGTTGCGCCCTATGGTGCGGTGCGCCCTATCTGCGGACGTTGTTGAGACCACCATGAGTATGTGAGAACCTTAAAGGGGGAAGTGTGGGCGTGGCTTGTGTATAAAAGAACAGTTATGTGCTTTATGCAGAACATTGTTTTCTTAACAACCCTGGAAATGGCAAAGAGACACGCCTATGAAGCCCAGTTTAAACTGAAGGCTATCAGCTACGCAGAGGAACATGGAAATCGAGCAGCTGCGAGAGAATTCAATATAAATGAATCGATGGTTCGCAAGTGGAGGAAGCTGGAAAACGAACTCCGACTGGTGAAGAAGACACAGCTGAGTTTCCGCGGACATAAGGCGAGGTGGCCCGAGTTGGAGGAAAGACTCGAGGGGTGGATCGTGGAGCAAAGAACGAGTGGGGCCAGCGTTTCAACTCCAGCTGGAGTTGTTATTAAGGCGAATGAAAAAGGCTGGATGGACGAGGAGATGATGAAAGCTTGGCTGAGGGAGGTGTATGTAAGGAGACCAGTTGGTTTTTTCCACGCATCACCATCTCTGTTAATTTGTGACTCCATGCGTGCCCATCTCACAGCCGATGTGAAAAAAAAGGTCAAAGAAATGAACGCTGTGCTTGCTGTTATTCCGGGAGGTCTGACAAAGGAACTTCAACCGCTCGACATCGGTGTGAACCGGCCGTTCAAAGTAAGGCTGCGAGCGGCGTGGGAGCGATGGATGACAGACGGAGAGCACAGTTTCACTAAAAGTGGAAGGCAGCGCCGGGCAAGTTACGCCACCGTTTGCGGATGGATTGTAGATGCTTGGACTAACGTTTCTGCTGGGACTGTTGTTCAAGCTTTCGCAAAAGCCGGCATCATTTCCAAGGAGCCGCCCGGCACGGAAAGTGACTCTGACAGCGAAGAAGAAGGGGAAACTGGCATGTCGGATTTAGCGCAGCTGTTTAATTCAGAAACAGAGGATGAGGACTTTGAGGGGTTTGATTAATACAGGTGCTGGTCATAAAATTAGAATATCATGAAAAAGTAGATTGATTTCAGTAATTCCATTTAAAAAGTGAAACTTGTATATTATATTCATACATTACATACAAACTCATATATTTCAGATGTTTATTTTGTTTAATTTTGATGATTACAAATGACAACAAATGAAAATCTCAAATTCATCATATCAGAAAATTAGAATATTGTGAAAAGGTTCAAAATTGATGGCCCCTGGTGCCACACTCTAATCAGCTAATTAACTCAAACCACCTGCAAAAGCCTTTAAATGGTCTTTCAGTCTAGTTCTATAGGCTACACAATCATGGGGAAGACTGCTGACTTGACAGTTGTCCAAAAGACGACCATCGACACCTTGCACAAGGAGGGCAAGACACAAAAGGTCATCGCTAAAGAGGCTGGCTGTTCACAGAGCTCAGTGTCCAAGCACATTAATAGAGAGGCGAAGGGAAGGAAAAGATGTGGTCGAAAAAAGTGTACAAGCAAGAGAGATAACCGCACCCTGGAGAGGATTGTGAAACAAAACCCATTCAAAAATGTGGGGGAGATTCACAAAGAGTGGACTGCAGCTGGAGTGAGTGCTTCAAGAACCACCACACACAGACGTATGAAAGACATGGGTTTCTGCTGTCGCATTCCTTGTGTCAAGCCACTCTTGAACCACAGACAGCGTCAGAAACGTCTTGCCTGGGCTAAAGAGAAACAGGACTGGACTGCTGGTGAGTGGTCCAAAGTCATGTTCTCTGATGAAAGTAAATTTTGCATTTCCTTTGGAAATCAAGGTCCCAGAGTCTGGAGGAAAAGAAGAGAGGCACTTCATCCACGTTGCTTGAAGTCCAGTGTAAAGTTTCCACAGTCAGTGATGGTTTGGGGTGCCATGTCATCTGCTGGTGTTGGTCCATTGTGTTTTCTGAGGTCCAGGGTCAACGCAGCCACATACCAGGAAGTTTTAGAGCACTTCATGCTTCCTGCAGCTGACCAACTTTTTGGAGATGCAGATTTCATTTTCCAACAGGACTTGGCACCTGCACACAGTGCCAAAGCTACCAGTACCTGGTTGAAGGACCATGGTATCCCTGTTCTTAATTGGCCAGCAAACTCTCCTGACCTTAACCCCATAGAAAATCTATGGGGTATTGTGAAGAAGAAGATGCAATACACCAGACCCTACAATTCAGAAGAGCTAAAAGCCACTATTAGAGCAACCTGGGCTATCATAACACCTGAGCAGTGCCACAGACTGATCGACTCCATGCCACGCCGCATTGCTGCAGTAATACAGGCCAAAGGAGGCCCAACTAAATACTGAGTGCTGTACATGCTCATACTTTTCATGTTCATACTTTTCAGTTGGCCAACATTTCTATAAATCCTTTGTTTGTATTGGTCTTCAGTAATATTCTAATTTTCTGATATGATGAATTTGAGATTTTCATTTGTTGTCATTTGTAATCATCAAAATTAAACAAAATAAACATCTGAAATATATGAGTTTGTATGTAATGTATGAATATAATATACAAGTTTCACTTTTTAAATGGAATTACTGAAATCAATCTACTTTTTCATGATATTCTAATTTTATGACCAGCACCTGTACTCTGTAATAAATACTTGAATAAAGCACAATCATACTCAGTTTTGCTCCAGCTCTATTTTTCTACCTGAAAACTTAATTCAACAGCAGCCTCTGGGCCGCGGCGCATCCGGGCTCACCTCCGCAGGTGTTTTTTCATCTAAATAATCTAAATCTTTTTAAGTGAGAAAGTCCACCTGAAAATTTAATCATTGCAGTCAGTTCATCCAGATTATTATCCTGCCTATGTTTTAAGTTAATTTATGCGTCAATAAACTGTATCAGAGGAGTAATCACAGCCCTGTGTCATCAGCGATGTGTCTCTCACGGCCGGTTCCCAGGTTTGAATAATACTTTGTAATAAATACACCTTGCAGCTTTATTTGCTGTGATCAGTGGGAATAAAGTAGTTTTAATATGTTTTTAAGAGGGAAAATCCACCTGAGAGGACATGTACCTGTATATAAAAAACGCGCCCTATAGTCCGGTGCGCCTTATGTGTGTGTTAAATACAGAAATGGCACACATAACTGAGACTGCGCCTTTTAGTCCGGTGCGCCTTATGGTCGTGAAAATACGGTAAAAATCAAGTGGAGGCTTGGTGAAAGCAAATATTTCACCTAACGAAGGCATTTTAGTCCCTTCTTGCTTAAAAATAAGGAAATATAAATCTCTACCTTCATTCATCATTTTGTTTGGGGACAACTGTTAAATGATTAACATTTACAATCAGGTTTGTAGGCATTAAAATCCATTTTATTTTAATGCCAATTATTCGTCTTACGGAACGTTTGTACAGATAAGTGCATTCTGCCAGTCTCTCTTCTACAGCAACATCTGTATGCTCACTTTTTTCCCTCTGCCACAGCATTTCCTATGCAAAATAGTCAATTAGAAAAAAAATACAAAATAATAACACTCTTCAAGAGTTTGAAAATGTCCTCTTTGTTAGTGCCCGACTTTTCTTTGACAGGAAATCACCCAGCTGTAATGCTAATGCAATTAATGCTCTATTCACCAAGAAGAACGCACACATACACACCCTCACACATGCATGCATAAGGCATAAAGTTTCTCTGCCTTTCATCGTTCAGTACTTTCATGATTGAGTAGCAAAATGAGGGGGTTCAAGATCAGAGGGAATCCAAATGGCCACTTGTCATCGCTCTTAAAAAAAAAAAAAAAAAAAAGTCTTTGTTTTTCTGAGGAGGAGGCAGTCCTGCTGGCTGCCTCACACTCGATCACACGCTGGCCATGAAGCCGGCGCCTCCTGGTACCAAGAACTTGTACTTGAATTTCATGTGTGTTTGTACAGGCGGGGGTCAGGGTGGGACAGCATGCTAAAAATTACTGGATGGGGAGTTTGTCCACAAGAACCCGAGGCCCCAGCTACTCAACTTCTTTTAAAGAATTGTCCCTAGTGTTTAGGATTATTGTGAAGGACAAGGTAAAATCTGCATCAGTAGGAAGATATCAACATTAACATAATCAAATTTAGGATATCATATAAAGTATGGCTTAAAGCGGTGCTTGGCTAAAGATTCTTCTAAAGTATCTATCTATCTATCTTTATGTTCTTAAGC